AGAATCGGGAAGCTCCTCGTCGGCAGCGTGGCCTTCCTGGCACGGTAGGCCCTCCCCATCGCCCTCGCCCTATGGGTGGTCCTATGGTTGGTGGCAGTAAGGTAGTTGGCAGTAGGACTCATCCCGATCAACAAACGTCTTCGAGTTGCTTGATCCTTTCCAGGGGGTGGGTGGCCTTAGCCACCCTCCTACTTGTGGCCTAATTGTCATAACAGGGTTCGCAAAGATTATCTCTTCGGTGTCTCTGTGATTTGGCTCAAGCAAACATAGCGAGCACGTGCGAGCTACCGCCTACGCGACAATGCCGACTCCCCAAGACCGTTATGAGATCAACCTCGAGTTGGTTACCATAGCAGGTACGGTATATGCAATGCAGACAGACCTCTCCCACTATGAAGACGTAGCAGAGCTTGAAGATGACATTCTCTGCTTTCTGCCGACAGTCTCTGATTTAGATGTCTTCGGCTGTGAACTGGAGTTGCTCAACCTCCAAAATCAGCAACCCCTGCCAGAGGCATTCCGCACTGTGCTCCTGCAACGACCGCAGCTCCAAATTGTCGTCCGTCCCTGCATGGTAGATGGGCATTCCATCTGGCAGTTCCAGGATGACGGCAAGGAGAGCTACCCCAAGGCTGTTCGCGTCCCGCCCAACCCGAGGGGAGCTGTTGCCGACAGAGCATTTTATGCTGCACCTTCACTTCGGCATGTAGAAGTGACAACTGGCATTCGACATGTCGGAGCTGCGGCTTGGCAGGCGTGTCAGCAACTACAAATTGTCAAACTCCCGCCCTCGGCCATAAGTCTGGCAGAAGGGGCTTTCCTAGGGTGCTATGTGCTGCGAGAGGTCGTCGCCCCGGGGTGTATCCGATACGGTCCAAGGGTGTTTGCAGAGTGCTGCTCCCTAAGTCGAGTTGGGGCCAGTCATGGGACAGAGGACAACAGTGTCCTTGCACCAGGGCACAACTAGGTAAGTATGCCTTCGAGAGTTGCCTCACACTTACCACCATCACCTTTGACATGGATCATACTAGTAAACCTCGAGGACTGCCTGAAGGGGCGTTCTGCGGCGCATGCATTGAACAGCTCTGCCTGCCGAGTGACTTCCACAATATCGGGCCGCGTGCCTGTGAAAATTGTAAAAGCCTTGTGGAGGTCAACCTCATGGACACAGAGATCACAGCCCTCCCTTCTTCCACATTTGCCCACTGTGTCGCTTTAAACAGCATCTGGCTCCCGCCACGACTCACGCTAATTGGCAAAGAAGTTTTTCTGAATTGTGTGGCACTGCAAGAAGTTGTCATCCCGACGGAGCTCAGGGATATAGGCAACCGTGCATTTTGTGGGTGTGAGCAGCTGCAACGTTTCACCCCCCTGGACTGGGGTGACATTGAACAGTGGGTACAAGCTGAGCACAATGCCTTTTTTATGTGTGACAAGTTTGAAAAACCCCAGTGGGTTGAGCTGCTCCCTGCAGAAGGACCTGATTCGGATGCCTTTGACGAGGAACTCAACCACGAATATTGCCAATATCACGCCAGCCCATGGTAGACTCTAGGTGGGTGCCTTAGCATCTGTCTGCAGTTTCGATGGCCGGGCTGCTCCCACGCGCAGACCCAGACACCTTTGGCTCAAACAATCATTGCAAATAGCCTGTCGCACATGGAATTTGATGATACATCCATGATTAGCACCCCTCCTGAAAAGGAGCCGGTCATGGAATACTCCCTGCTGCTGACTACGCTTTCGGGAGAGACTTTCCAGGTCTCTCTCAGTGTTGCAAAGTTTGACCGCTTTGAAGATCTAGAAGAGCAGGTTATGGACTATCTCGTTTCTGTTACTGATCTCAAAGTTTTTGGGTGCTGCATTGACTTTTTGCAAACTGCCACACAGACTTACCTAGAGGACCCAATCTGGGACAAGCTACAGCAAGGAATGGAATACACCATCGTTTTTCGAAACTGTAGTGTTATCCTGCCATCTCAGGTAGAACTTGAGGATTGCCCCATCCATCACATTCCGCTAGCAGTTCATGTCCCCATGAACCCAGAGAGAAGTGTCCCAGAAGGGGCCTTTGCAGGGGTTCCACGCTTGAGACATGTCAGTGTAGAGTCAGGTATCAGGTTCATTAAGGCAGAGGCTTGGCAAAACTGTCGGCAGCTCCGCATCGTTAAACTGCCTGCCACAGTAGTAGGCATTTCCGATAATGTCTTCCGCGATTGCAAACTACTAAACAGTGTCGCGGCTCCGGGTTGCCTAGACTTTAGGTATAAAGCCTTTGCGGAATGTTGTTCCTTGCAATGGGTGTATGCATCGGAAGGAATTGCAAATGTGTTCAATAGCGAAGCCAAGCTAGGGCAATACCTCTTTCAAGGCTGTATCAATCTTGCTGAGGTTACCTTAAGTGAGCTTCCATCTCCCCGAGAGCCAGCACTGCAAGCTAGTGTCAGTGAGTTAACGCCGGGCTGCCTCAGCTCCACAGGAATCACTGCACTTGCTCTCCCAATGCATTTTGTAACTCTCGGAGCGCATGCATGCGACAGTTGCCGACTACTTAAGAATATAGACCTTTGCAACACCCAGGTTGAGGAAATTCCGGAATTCGCCTTTGTGCACTGCACTAGTCTCAAAGAAGTCCTTCTTCCGATAACTCTTCACACAATCCGAGTCAAAGCTTTCATGAACTGTGCAGCTCTCGTGGAGCTTGCCATTCCGCCCTCGCTGAGGTACATAGGAAGTAGGGCCTTCCTAGATTGCACTGTCCTTAGTAGGCTTGTCAAGATGCCAGGAAGGCATAAATGGCGAGGAGTCTATGCAGAAGAGAATGCTTTCGCCATTTGTCCTGCTATGCGATGGCCACCTTGGCTGCGCATGATCCCGGACATGGGGCACACCCCTGGTCTTGGATGAAAACAAGACTCTTTTCTTGTTTGCAGCGAGCGCTGCATCGTAGATACTTGTCAAGAGTCTGGGCACGCGCCTTAGCGTGGGTCCAAGGTAGGTCAACGATCATGACAGGGCAAATTCCAGAAGGGAGCGGAGAAACATCGCAGTTGTACCCTCGCATAGGAAGTTCTACTCAAGAGTATCATGGCGAGACTAGGGGCAAGCAAACGAAAATAAACTGCGCATTGCCAAAGACCAGTGTCCCTGAACAAACTGGATAACCCGTCTAGTCCAGGCAATGCTAGGAGCTGTCGACAGATGCCAGTTGTCACAGGGAAGAAAAAGGACCAGACCAGACAGAGCCGGTGAACCTGTAACTGGAATGGGGGACAAGCTGACTGACAGCCTAGTGCGGCAAGCAAGATGCGCAAGCACTGACCAACCTCTTTTCGCCATTCGGACTGCTGTGAGCCAATAGGAGTGAGAGCCTTAGCTCTTCGTTCCTAACAGGCGGGTGGTAGAGAGTGGCAATGGCGGATGCCCAGGGGGAACCTTAGTTCCCTTTGTTGATGTCCGACATTTCCAATTTTGTACAAAGAAGTACAGATACCATGCTAGGATTGTCCAAAGTTTCACCTGTTTCAACTGTTTCACACGGGCCTTGCATGCAGCCGATTAACTTTTGCAACGGCGCAGCGCTTCGTAAACCTGGAAGACACCCCACTCTGTTTGCTATTTGGTACCTGTGAGTACCAAACAGTGCTGAACTGACCTCCCTTCGGGGGGGGTCTCTTCGCACCATCACCTGCAGGCTTTCGTCGATTATGGCCGCCTCTCATCGATTGTTGATTGGTAGCATGCCACTTGACTTGTAAGTGCAACCGGTTGAACGGGTTGTGCCACAAGAAAGGTCTTTTCCACGGCATGCTGCACAGCTACGCCACCCCACTTGCCAGGGATGCAATCGACGTTGATGAATTGCGATACCCCGTATTTGAGTGGAGAATTGCATCGTGACCATGATTTTGCCGCACTGGGGTGTGGCCGTTGGTCACTCATAAAGGTGAAGTGAGGTCCCTTTGAAGCCTTTTTGCGACTTTGCTTGAGCACAAACCTGCGCCGCTATGCTTTTCGTTCGTTAATTCAGGCCCCTTTTTACACACTCTTTTTCGTCTCACATGTTTCACCTTGCACAGAGGAAAGACTACATGATGGTGGAGACACGGCCTGTGGGCCCTTGGTTGTGGTTTTCTTTGGTTTTGTGTGGTGTTGGGTTTCCTTGTTCTTTTCTCCACCATCTGACTGTTCTTCCCTCCCTTTAGCGATGACCTGGGCACCATGCCCACACGGCGTCCGTACTCGTGGAAAAAAAAAGATTCAGTGAGCCTGCAGGAATGAGAGCCTTAGCTTCTCGTTCCCAAAAGGCGGGTGGTAGAGAATGGTTATGGAAGGTGGCCAGGGGGAACCTTAGTTCTCTCTGCGGCGGCCATGCCATGACCATTGCTGTACAAAGAGGCACAAGTACCATGCTAGGTTAGGTCCACGGTTTCACCTGTTTCACGGGCCTTGCATGTAACAGAAGGATGTTTTCACGTTGGCACCTCTCTTTCTTTCAGGAACAGAGTGTACCGCTTTGGCACTTCTTGAATGCCAAGGGGCGCAGAGGAGACCTCCCACGTCCGTTTGGGACAAATCAACAGTTTGCAGTTGCTGGCAGCTCGCACAAGCTGCCACTCCCATCCTGTGAAAATCTGACGATGGATGCCCGCTTCCAGGAAGCAGCAGTCAGGCAGACTTCGGTTCGGATATGTCAGGCCTCGCCCTTTCCCCAAATCGAGGCGCTGTAGGGCCGTGCATCCTTGAAACACACGGGGCCGCAGTTGTGCTTGGGGGGCAAGAATGTTGTCAGGGCACTGCGTCACTCCTATTTGTGTTAGGGAGCAACACTCTTCGAAGACCTTAGCCCCAAAAATGTTGGCAGCCGGGGGCAATCACCACTCGTAAGGCTCTGCAGTGGCTAAAGGCACCTTGCAGCAGACTGACAACCGTGTCTGGCAGGTCACCACCAACATGGGGACCCTGGCCAGCATGAAGGGTTGATGTTTGAGGCTCAGACTATGGTTGTTCAGGAGATGAAAACAAAGGTGGCGAGAAAAGAAGAGACCTCAGTCCTTGCCACTCTCGCTCCGGCTGAGCGAGACACTCGGATCGAAGCTCAACGCAAGCGCCTGCAGGGTCTCTTGCTCAGAGGTGATGAAGAAGTTGCTCACGCTTGTTACGACCTTGTCCTCAACTTGCTGGACAAGGACACGCTTGTTTACCTCGGCCCTGCAAAGTTCTACACCCGAAAGACAGAGCTTCTTCAGAAGAAGCCTCCGAAAGAACTCTCAATCGACCAGAACTCACTCATCATCAAAGACAAGTCTGCAGACCATACATGCAGCGCCAAGACCGAGCTCGAATTGGTGCAGGCGCTCAGGCGTCGCGCCTTGGCCTTCGATTTAGTCGGCGCTTGTTCGTATACGTCCTCTCGGGCGCGCCACATTCAACGTCCAGGCAGGCATAGCCCTCCTGTGCTTCGAACCGAACAGTTTCCCAATGGGCTGCCGTCGCTCCAAGGGACCAATGCCCTTCGAGTCCAAGCGGCCAACGAACTGTGTCGACGCACGGTTGTCATGGCCAAACTGTGTCATGCCAACGCAGTGTTTTGGAGCATTGAGAATCCTGGACGCTCTTATATGTGGCTTACCCATGACGTGGCCGAGTTTTTGCAGGCACACCCACACTTTGACACTTTCTTTCATCACTGCCAGTATGGATCGGCTGGGCGTAAGCTCACTCGCTTAGTCCACAACATCCCTACTTTCCTGGCACTTGACAAACTTTGTGACAATTCGCATGAGCACGAGCCTTGGGGCCATCAGGATCATCAGTGGGCCACGGCTCTGGAGACAGCCTATCCTTGGCCCTTGTGCCGTGCGCTGGCCCAGTCGCTTGCCTTGTGTATGCAAGACTTGGGAGCTATATGTAAGACCCCATCTTATGCCTTGCAGGAAGCATCTTTGCAATCACTTCGAGCCGCCACCTACATTCAACCTAGAAAGCATTTACCACCTATGGTTTCGGAGTTTGCTTGTGTGAGAGCATCCCCTTGATACCCCCATGCCTCCCTTGGCTCGTAAACTGTCCACTCCTGTGTTGGGGTCCTCCGCGAGTGGGTCAAATACAGAGAGTCAAAATGAAAACTGGAATTCACTGGTCTCCTCAAGAGTTCATAGAGAAGGCTTTGGAAGTAGGGCGCCCCATACTGGTAGAAGACATCTTCCCTGTCGACGTGAGGAGAGCAATTTGGTGTTGTGTAGGTAGAGACGAAGCCCAGACCGCGGTACACAGGACAGAAGTCATCAAGAAGTGGATCAGCTTGATTGGAGAGCTTGAACACAAAGAGGTTGAGCTAAAGAGTAGCCTGCCCACAAGGATTGCGGAAGTTTTGAAGGCAAAACGCTTGGTTCTGTTTAAGACCCTTCTCGAAGAAGCAAATCACCCAGACGACCCAGTCACAGATTTGTGCAACAGTTTTGACTTGACAGGCAGACTGCCTGAATCGGGAGTGTTTAAACAGAAGTTTAGGCCGGCTTCGATTTCCAAAAGCAGTCTGAGGGAATTTGCAAAAGTAGCCAGATCCTCTTTCTTGATTAGCTGCAAGAGTTCAGGGGACGATGAAATGGACAAGGCACTCTACGATGCCACTGTCAAAGAGGTGCGTAAAGGGTTCATTGAAGGCCCTGTGAGTCTTTGTGATGTGCCTGAAGCAGCTTCCCTGACCAAAAGGTTCCCTGTGCGGCAGAAAAATAAGGTCAGGCCTATCGATGACTATCGAGCCTCGATGGTAAACAGTGCAGTGACCCAGCCGGAAGCTGTGTCCATCCACACAATTGACCACATTTCCGCCATGGTCAGCTATTGGTTGAAAGCTCTTCATGGCCGAGACCAATCCGTGCAGCTGGTTTCCAAGCGCTGGGATTTGGCTGACGCGTACAAACAGGTTCCGATATCTGAAGAGTCGTTTGAGTATGAAGCCTTTCTAGTGGTTTACAACCCAGCCACCCAGAGGCCGGAAATCTATAAACAGAGGGTTCTGCCCTTTGGTTCAATAGCTTCGGTGACGTCTTTTCTGAGGTGCGCTTTGGGTTTGTGGACCATTGGCACAAGTTGCTAGACCTGGTTTGGTCAGCATACTTCGACGACTTCCTTTGCGTCACCAGCGAGGCTCTCAGCAAACACACAGACTTGTGCGTGAGTGTCCTCTTCCAAGCCCTTGGGTGGGAAATCTCCGATCGCAAGTTAGTCCCCTTCAGCACTTGTTGCAGGGTTCTGGGTGTAGAGCTTGACCTTGGAGACACCAAGTTGTGGCAGGGGCTTGTTCAGAACACGGAAGATCGCAGAAAGGAACTTTTGGATGAGCTTGATGCCGTGATTGCGACCAAGCTTCTGAAGAAGCACCCTGCAGAGAGACTTCGTGGCAGACTTCAGTTTGCATCGTGCCAGATGTTTGGCCGTCGCATGAATAGGTGTCTCAGAGCCCTCACCAGTCACATAATGTCGGGCAGAAGCTCTCTCTCTGAATCCACAAAGGAGAAGTTGGAAGAGATGAGACTCTTGATCGAAGAGAACCACCCCAGGGTAATAAATAGGCATTTGGCTGAGCATGTGCACATGTATGTAGATGCCTCTTTCGATCGAACCGGTTACTCAGGCATCGGAGGTCTGCTTTTGTCCGGAGAAGGTGAGCTCTTAGGATGTTTCAGCGAGGAAGTCCCTCCTGAAGTCTTTGACCTTTTCTCAAACAACGAAGACTCGGTCGTCATTCATGAGCTTGAAACTCTGGCAATCTTCGTGGGACTTGAAGTGTGGAGGGAACTTCTCACGAGTCGCAGAGTGGTCGTTTTCACCGACAGTGAGGCGACGCGTGGCAGTCTCTTGAAGAGCTGGAGCCGCAATGACGGCGCAGATCTCGTGCTGGAAGACATCTTTGAGTTCGAGGAAGCTCAAAGCATTGCACTCTGGTTCGAACGGGTCCCAAGTCAAAGCAACCCTGCGGATGAATTGTCTCGAAGCAGAATGGCTGTGTGGCATGGAAGAAAGTGTGACACATTTGACCTAGCAGGTTGGCATTCCAAGTTCGTCCACAAGTTGGGGTGAAAGCGCGACGAATTTCGTGTCCGACCCCAGAGAGAAAAAGAGTTGCGCAGTTGAGTCTTGCTGTGAACAAACGTGCTTTCTTGTGAAACGTTCTCATGCGTAGCAATCACAGAGAAAAATGAGTAAACTCTCATGAAACGAAGTGGCATGACAGTGCTTTATTTTTCCTAAAGTGTTTGCTAAACGGAGGATTGCCGAAGTGTTGCATGAGTTTCGTTTTCACTTGATATCAGACTCACACTTCACGTGAAGTCGGGCTCAAGTGAGCCCTCACGACTCTTTTTCGACCCACCCTCTACCACCCTATTGTCCGCAAGTGCAGTCATGTGCGAGTGCATACCATATAAAGGTCATGACTTCCAGTCATTGAAAGTATTTTGTGTTGACCACCACCTATTTCTTTTACTTGGACCGAAGTTGGTCACCTTCTAGTCTGCGTGTGCAGCTTCTCTATAAGCAAGTGCAATATTATCCAAACCGGACTGTTGTTTTTCAAGCTCCTTGCTTCCGGCCATGACATTGCGAGACGTTTCCTTTGATCCCCTTGATTTGTGTTACTTGGAGCGAAGTAGGTCACATCCTTCGAACGTTTCGACCCTTTTTCTCAGGTGCTTTCCTGGACCCTGTGGCCTCCTGTGCTGCTTCATGTAGTTGCATGGGGCTTGCAACTTAACAGTGAGGCAATTTGTGTTGATCTCGACACTTTGCGCCAAGACACTTTGCGCCAAGCTCTCTTTTTTTTGTTCGACGGCGCCAGAGCCGTCTCGACTTCGTTTACCTTGGTGGCTTGATCATCTTATGCCCTTTTGTCATTGGACCTCAGAGTGGCTCCAATTCAAGTCAGGCGACTTGATCCAACATCAGCCTCGTCGAGAGCTCTTGATCCGTCTATTGCGCAAGTATGAGTTCATGTTGCAAGCCACACCGCTCAATCAAGCAATTTTGCGGCGCTTCACTTCCTCGAAGCCTAGTTCGATGCATATCGATTCCTTCGATGCCTAACCCGACCGTCGTGAAAGCGCGACGAATTTCGTGTTGAAAGCGCGACGAATTTCGTGTCCGACCCCAGAGAGAAAAAGAGTTGCGCAGTTGAGTCTTGCTGTGAACAAACGTGCTTTCTTGTGAAACGTGCATGAGATAGCAATCACAGAGAAAAATAAGACCTGTGCATTCTCTGCACACATGGCGTCTCCACCCGTGCAAAAAAAAAGACCAAACTCGAAGTGCTCTGGCTCTCCACTCACCCAAGTTGACACCTTTGACAACCGAGGCAGTTGTCAACCGTAGCCTCAGATGTGAGGAAAGCCACGGTGGCAGGAGAGAGCTCCACAATGTCCACAATGGCAGGAGATGGGGATGTTTTCAACGAATCGGAGAAGTGGTTGAGCCTGGCAAAATGGCTGCTTCGGATGAGTTGAGATGTTCTTGTCATCAGTTCAAAGGAAATTGGAATGCAATCGAAAGGTTCCGAAGGATGTGGAGGAATTCGATTCGAAAGCCGATTTATGCAAAGTTTGGTTTGGAGCTTGCATTGAAGGGCCAATTTTTCAATGTTTTCCGCAATTTTAGCTTTTTCACCGGTGACAATGTAGCTATCGTTCATTGAGTGCATTCGAGCATTCCTTTTGCAGAGTGGCACTGATGTAGTGGCGCACTGACTCATTTAAAGTCTTACAGTCACACACTGTGTCGAGTAGACGCTGACGAAATTTTCCTGCATGTGAACTGTAATCACGGATCACAGTTCAAGGGGGAGTGTTAAGATATCACCCCACTGCGCACTCCAAAACTGCCAACTTCACTGTTGGCTCAAGTCACGGAGAAAAGGTCACAATTGCTGAGTCCACTGTGTGTAGGACTGCTTGCTGTAGGTTGCGCAGGTGATCCGCCCACTCAGTTCACACATGTTGTCAAACAAATTAGGCAACCCAGTAGCAACGTGGATCACCGTGGCAAACTCAAACGTAAATTATAATGCTGAGTGATGGGTGGTTTGCAGGATGGTGGGACTTACGTGGAAGAGGCTGGTCAAGGGTTGCCACCAGAAAACCTGATACAGAAAACTTTCGGTGTGTTTCATAGCTTACGGCGGTGAATCTGCTTCGAGCATCAACAATGCTAACGAGAAACTATAAAATTGATCATGAGAAGGAAGGTGGGTTTGTTTGAAAAACCCCCGGGTCCGAACCAGTGTCCATCGGCCACCTCACTTCAATCTCTCAGTGTCCATCGGCCACCTCACTTCAATCTCTTTTTTATTGAGGAAAATTCTGGGGTACCATCTGCAATTAAGTCCCAAAACATATCAAAGCAGTTGGTGTTGGCCAAAACCAAATGCAGGCTGCGCAGTGGGCCATTTTTTTTGAGCGAGTGTGTAGTTAAGTCTGGTTGGGCCACGGGGTTTTCTTTATTTTGAGTTTGGCACTGGGAGATCAGTTCAGGTGTCGTAAGATCCACTATCATTGTGGTTGCTTTCCGTGACGTTGTTGAGCTGTCCTCGAATCTGTTTGGGTGCCACATCATTTAGAGTTCTTGGATGCACATTTCACGTCGATTCTCATACAAGCAACATTTTTTTGCACAAATGAGTCCTTCCTACTTGAGGCCTGGATTTCTTGTGGCCTGGCCTTGCATGTTTCCATTTTTTTCACAGTTTCAGGTGCCTGTAAGGCCGTCAAAGGCTTGCAAACAAGAAAATTAGTCATTTTTGCAGACAAAATGTTGTGAAGTGTGGGGTCGGGAAACCTGTCCACATGCAAGGCCGCAAGAAATCTAGGCCTCGAAAAACTTGGACTCCAAAATTTTCAAGCCAACTTGTGTTGCTTTTGTCAACAGCTCCGAGTCCAACTTTCCTCAAGGTGACGGGCTGTGATTTCCCATGCAAAGTATTCAGATTAGAATAAACACGTTTGCCTTGCAGGCAACTCGATGTGGAGTTAAGTAATTGGACTGAGTCACACCAGTTTGCCAGATTTGCAAGTTCACGACCAGGCTCTCAACAGAATCAATGATTTTGAATGCACATTTAGTATTTCATGCATCATGCCAATGTCTCGCCTTGTGCACTTGACATTGACGTTGGATATCAGGAGGCCACACATGATATCCATGTCCATAATTGTTTTGCGGAGGAACACGTTCTGGATCAAAAGGCTTTGTGCACCCTGAGGTCATTTCACAGAGTGATCGACAGCAAGAACAACTGGTAAATGCCTTTTGGTACAGCACTCCCGTGGCTGCCTTAGGTGCTTTACCTATTTGTGACTTGAACTATATTTTGAAACGCTCCAGCGCCTCTTTTTGCAGCTGAATTTCAATCCATACATTACTTCTTGCCTTTGATGTCTTACTTTTTGGAAGGGCCAAGGGAGGGGAGAGAGCGAGAGAGTGGGGACGGGGAGAGAGAGAGTGCCAAACTCGACAAATCTAGGCAGATCTCTTGGGTGGTGGTTGCCAGTTTTACGTATTGAGACTGCTGGAAGGAACAAGGGCATCCCGTTGTTTTGGCCGCGAGTACTCACCTGAGATTTACAACCTGCAATTGCAGAGCTTAGAGCGAAATAAGCGGAGTTTGTGCGTTCCAGCCGCCGAGGTGCAGATCCTCCCTGTGATGGCCTCGCCTCAAAATGCCTTCCAGTTTTCCTGATTATTCATGTAAGTTCGGCTTGTTTTCCGTTTTGTGTGTCGAATATGGGCTGCACTCACTTGGACATGAATGAAATGTTTTTTCAAACCAAAGGATGGCGTGACCGACACTCTACCATTTTCTCCATGCAAATGATTGTTTCTTTTGGCTGCAGGATTTGGGTGCTTTGGTTCGTTCATAGGTTTTGACGCGCTTTTAAGCCATGGCAGAGCCAGATTATTACCAGCTCATCGGTGTTGACAGGAATGCGACCCTCCACGAGATCAGGTCCAAGTTTCGTGCCAAAGTCTTGGCTGAACATCCAGACAAAGGTGGTGACCCAAAGAAGTTCCAGCTGCTGAACAAGGCCTACAACGTGTTGACAGACACGGAGAAGAGACGTCGTTATGACACCACTGGTCGTGCAGAAAAGTCAGCTGAGGAGGAGTTCGTGGAGGGATTTGCAGGGGGCAGACACCACTTTGAGCCGAGAACCAAAGAACAAGATGAAAAAGCCATTGTCAGCTTGCAGGATCGCATCATTTCAGGAAACCAGACACATGAAGAAGGCTTTGCTGAATGGCTCAGGCAGAGAGACCAGCAGGCCATGGTTTTGACAGACAAGGATTTCATGAAGACCCATTTGTTCAATGCATCAGAGCTGGCAACGAAGATCAACCATCCAGGTCCAGTGCAACATGTGTTGGGGTCTCCCAAAACGGATGCCTATGGACAGGCTCTTGGAGGGGCTGTCCAGGTCCAGGTGAAGCCAAGACCTTTGAAGAAGGCCATTGATCATGATGAAGTCCTGGTTCGAATGCTTGCTGTTCCTGTCGATGAATCCATGGTCTATGCCGATCTTAAAAAGACCGGAGTCTGTCTGGGCGTCACAGGTGTGGGACGAGTTGAGCAAGCCGGCAGCCGCGTGGAGGATTTGAAGGCTGAGGACGCTGTGCTTGTCCTTCCAAAACCAGCCAAGTTCTCATCCGCTCATCCGATCGGTACCGCACGCACCTTGCTCACCTGTGGGGAAGAAGACTTGTTGAGGATTCCTTCGGAAATTCTGGAGGAGCTGACACCGGAGCAGATTTGCTTGACACCAACGATTGTTTGCGCATACACTGTGCTGGAACAATTTGGTTCAAGGCTGAAACCTGGTGATTCTGTGCTGCTGAACGCAGCACACCTCTCAGCATCCGGATCCGCTTTGCTTCAGCTGTGCAAGCTCCTGAAGTTGAAACCACTCTGCATGCTATCTTTGCCGGGCTCACCAAAGAACTTGGCCAAGGGGGAGTATGGATCCAAATCGGCTTGGGCAGAAGTGGAGAACCGAGGCGCCGCTCCTCCTACTGTGCGCCAGCAGTATGAGCGTATCAGCGAGTTGCTGGTGACTATGGGAGCTGAGGAGGTCTTCCCAGATGCAGTGGCGCTTCTTCGCTGGCGAGATAGGAACCAGCGCATGCTTCCAAAGCTAGCATTGGATGGCATTGCAACTCGAGATTCTTGCGAGCAGCTCATTCACTGCTTGCAATCAGGAAGCAGGGCTTTGCTCCCAAAAATCGCATGATGTCCTTGGTAATTTCGGAAAAGCAATTTGGTAAATTTTGTAATTTAGTTAAAGCCACCCTTGAGGAGACAAGGATGCTCAGATTGTGGTCTATGGCCACGGAGTGGCCCAGCCGCTGGAAATTTCTCCACCCCTGCTGGCAGCCTGGGGTGGCCGAATTGTTGGCTTCAATATTGCCAGATGGGTACACTCCATGTCTGCCAATGCCAAGAAGATGATGGCTGTCATGGAGAATGAGACTAAGCTTGAAATTTGCAAAGTTCAATTTTCTTAAGATTGTTTGCTCAATGGGCGGCCTAGATGGTTTGGATTTTGCTTCATTTTGCAAGGTCACGAAGCTGGTTCGAGCCAACAAGTTCATGCTCGACACAGTCATGTTCAAGGTTGGCGAAGATGCCATTAGTGAAGCCTTCTCCCGCGCGGCGGATGCAGCTGACAATGCGCAGGCTGGTCTGCTATTTCTGCTCATTGTGCTTTGGCATTTCTGCTGCTGATTTTCGTTGCTTTAATGCTGAGCCTTCTTGCAGGTGGTCCTTATCTTCCCGACGCTTCAAGAGGAGCTGAAACTTTCTCAACAGGAACAGAAGGTCGAGAAGGAAAAGCTTGCCAAAGTGAAGGCCCGCCAGTAAAGATTAGTTGGGAATCAGTTGCAGCTCTCACCTGGCAGAATCCATCCATACTGTGCAGGAAGAGGAAGAAGCAAAAAAGAAGGAGGAGGAAGAGCATCACCGACTGAAAGCTGATTGGCTGAACCTGCTCTTCACCGAGCAGTCTGTGGCTGCCATGAGCCCAGAGGCACCATAGTGCGGAATCGATTGCTCTTACAAGCGTCCTTGCTCCTAGTAGTAAGGCCAGGAGCCCCTAGAATTGGTATCAATGTCCAAACTTGCCAGGGTCCTTTGCCAATTTCGCTGGAGGGCCAGTCTCTTAAGCTTCACTCGCTCTGCCTTTTCGAAGCCAATTGGAACAGCTCTGTATCGTAAGTCCGGAGAATAGATAAAGAAAACGACGACGGTCCTGGGTTGGTTTGGCATTATGCCTTCTAAGGCGGCAACACCTCCAACCCATCTGCTCTTTTGGTTTGGATTGGTGATGATCCAAAGGCCGAAGCCCCATCGGTAAAGGACTGGACGTTGGAAGCTCATTGTAGCAAATATTCACAGGTCAGTGTTGACGTGCTACGATTTGTGATTCTGAGTAAGCAACCTCAAATGATCCACCATTCCGTTTGTACTGGGCGTGGTGTGATTCTGATTCCTTTTCTGCGTTGGACATCGTGCACAGCTGGGTAGATGGCTTTTGGTGCAAGAGCTTCTAGACTTGGCCTGCGGGCTATGACTTGTGAAAGTGTTTTGTGTAGGATATCGCTGCTCAAGCCGGCGGTGCCGCCTTTGTTTCAGTGGCCTGGTCCGATCATCCTGCTGGTGAGGCCTGAACTTTCTTCAAACCATCTCCAAAAGTGAATCTTCAAAGTTGCTGTGTTTATGTTGCTTTGAGGCCTTCGGGGAGTTTTCATTGAAATCTCCGGAAGTGGTTGATGGCTCCTTCTACCTCAGAGATCGACAAGCCTTCGAAAACCAGGACACGTGCATGATGGAATAGAGCATGTGCATGCCGCTTTCGTCATGGTCTTTGTATGTGTCGATCACATTTGTATTTTTGACTTATCGTTTTGCTCAAGCCCGCTCAGGATCTAGACCTGTTGCACGATGTAGAGCTGCTGGGACGGTGTCTCGCAGAAACTCTTGAGCCCAAGCTTGGCGAGTATGGATTGGACTGGAGCAAGGCGCTGGGTACAGATTTCTAAAACTCAGACTGTATAAGGATGCCCTCACCTGGCTACTGACCCACTAAACCGCTGTTCAGTCTAGATACTTGCAGGAGGTTGCAGCAAAACATGGTCGAAGCTGCTTCTTGAGTCCTCCAAGACCTTCGCCAAGTGTCACCGGCTCCAGGAGAAAGGAGGAGCCGCACACCCCGTGTATCCGACATAACAACGAGTACCTGCAGCGCCCCCCATACAGCACCGTCACACGTCCCTCACAGCAGGCACCCACACCAATTTAGAGCGTCAAAAAAAGACCTCTCGGCCATACGCAACCAAAGTCAGCCTCAAAATGCACAAAGTGACCTTGGCGTCGCCTGCCTAACTCCAACCAACACCCACAATCCTGCAATTACAGCTGACTATCCGCCAGGTCCGCAGCATGCACAGCTTACTTCCTTTCTCCACATCCGCACCGGTCTTTGACTGGCACCGCATGTCCCTGCTGTTAAATCCTGCGACGCAACTCTATCACTTCTCCATTCTCTAGAGTCCAGTTTCGAAGGTCGTTATCTGCGGCTTCGGCAAGGGCGCTGGCCTTGCCATGTACGCATCATTGCTGAATCTCTTCCCCAAGCAGGCAAGGGGAGTTGGGAATGAGCCCCAACCAGAGTTGATGGACTTGGGCAAACGTTCTTGGACTTGCTAGGAAGTTTGTCACCAATTTCAAGAGTTTGCACATGTGTGCGCTTGATACTCGCATATTTGTTTCAAAGGCAGTTTTTCCGAACTTACAACCTGAGCAGGTGAGTTCTATGGTCCTGTTCAGTCAACAGCTTATTGAGATGTGCCGGTCTCTAGGCAGTTTGTGGATATTGTGACAACTTGTGGCCGCCTTTGCTGTTGAGGTCCAGTTGTCCTGTTTCCATCCTTCTTGGCTCAAAAGATGGAGGCTCAGACTGAGTTTGTTCAAGATGACATGTGAGGGTGTGCTGAAAATTGCAGGCTTTGAGGCAGGAGAGCTCGAGCAAGATGAAAGTCTACACAGTGTGGGGAAATCGAAACAGGCCAAGACCCTGAAGTGCACATTTTACAATCTTTTACACGTCCATTTGTTTTCATTTTTTTGCAGTGTTTCAGGTCCACTCCTGGCACATATCGTCAGCTTTTGGCACAGACTCTGAAGAAGGCTAAGAATGTACACTGCACGCGCAACCCTCAGCTGCAGCAGTATAGTTATAATGTGTGCGCGACATGGGATAGTAACCATTCTTGCGTGAGCTTTGGCTGCCAACCACAAAGAGATATATATATATATATTGTGAAGAAACCAAACCTAGCTCATGATTGTTCTGTTGAAGGCAGGTCGTGGTTTGCGACTTGGTACATCCTAGGTCCTAAGGTTGGACTTCATGGATGTCTGTTCGACTCCGCGGCCATTTAGGCCTTGAGCTTTTGCCGTGAGCGTAAAACAGCGTTCACGGTGCTCATCCACGTCTTGACACTGGTAGGCGGAGCCTCTTGGCTCGTCGGTGGCGCGCCATTTTGTTCTGCTGGACGATCTGACCCCACTGAGGGAGCCGCATTGTTGGTGACAGGTGCTTGCCGTATTGTGCTTTCATTTTGTCGTTGGCTGGACCAGGGCGATAT